AATGGAGCAAAAATGGAAACTAAAAACTTCCACAAAATTGTTTAGAAAAAGACAAGTTAACTATATATAGGTAAGCAAGATAAGTATATAGCAAGAAACTACTTAAAAAAAATTTTTTTTTTATAAGATGCGAATAGCTTTCAAGTAATGTAATACATAAATGAAGTCTGAAATTAGTGAAAACTTTGAAGAAAAATGTATTAATTTAACTCTAGTGAGCTATGAATCGATTAACATTCTTCTGTCCTCTATAATCAATAAACGAATTATGTAAGCAATGCTTTTTCTATATAAGATTGAGGAGCCTAGTGTATAACAGACCTAATCGAGAGCATTGTTTTGTGTCTAAAGTGCATTGATTGAATAACTAACGTAAAGTTGATGAAAAGAGGAATGACAGAAGTTATAAAGTATGAACTTTCCGTTCATGAAAATAGTTGTCGTTGAGTTATTTTTTATTATTATCTTTCTTTCAAGGTTTCGCTAAACTTTCACTGCATTTATTATATTTGAAAACTTTTTACGTCATTTACAAAAACAGAGATTTGAGACCGGAATATAGAATGTTGCAAATTGTTATGCTTTTTACAATATTAATAAAGCTAATAAAAAATGTAATTAAAGAAAATATTTGTAGCTGTATTAGTTATCACAACAGGCAAGCCTACAATAATCTTGGCAAGAATTTGACAAATGAGATTTGTTCGTTTCGGCGGTGTGTACATAGTTCTCGTCATCAATAAAAAGTTATTAACCGTAAATTGTTAAATTTTCAAATTTTTCTATTTCTAACTATAGTGGGCGAATAACAAACATTTTTAAATCAAATTATGGATACTTAGATGATGTACTATTAAATATAAATGCTAGTACGTCAAAAAAAAAAAAATTGTTTAGAGTAAATTAAATTAAATGTCATGACATAATTATCGAAGGATGTATTATGCTAAAAGCTAAGTAACGACTATATGTCGATGTGCTAAACATTAATAGCTTATGATCATTTTTTCAATTTAAATCCAAGAGCGATCAACTATCTTGTGCTTTTTATACTCTCCACCACTTATGGTGCAAGGGTACATTAAGTTTATACAACACCCAGAAGAATTTGAGATATTATCGCGATCTAAGGTTCATCTAAGCTTGTCTGTCCGTCAGATCAATTTCCGAGATATTTGATAAAATTTGGTACAGCGACATTGTCGGGCACAAGAACGAACACTATTAAAAATGGTTCGGTTTGGACCACTTTTTCAATCACTGCCCATATAACATGTTA